GCAAGATCCTTCTACCAAACTGCTTGTGCATTGACTGCCTGCACAAGGAATCATTGCATACATTTTTATGCAAACAGAAGTCATGTGTGCTTTGACTGTGACTTCCACCAGTACAAGAGGATGTGAGGATGCATTACATTACAATCACAGCACAGCTTTCTGTTCCACCAGTGTCCAGCAGAATCCTTCCCAGAGTAATCACTGCAGGTTTGTAGTCTCTATGTCATTTCTCCATATAGTTATGGTGCTATTTTTATGCACCATAATGGCCTACCACTATATACATAACAATGTCAACACAGCAGTACACTGAAAGCTGCCTTCTTATTAGTTAGGCATCCTTCAGTCTTGAAAGACTATGGAAAGACTTGGAACAGCATCTAGTGTGGGTGAAAAGGCCAATTTGAGAGTGACAATCCCTTCCACACTGAAGACAAATGCAATCTGTCCCCTGTCCAGCTCCCTGATTTTGTTGCTTTTGTGACTGCCTCTTTGCCTCAGCCTGCTGGACAAGGGTCTCTTCAAATTGGGAGAGGCCATGATGCAACGCCTGCCTCCAGGCTGAATGCTCAGATGTCAGGGTTTCCCATCTGTTGAGGTCCATTCCTAAGGCCTTCAGATCCCACTTGCAGATGTCCTTGTATCGCAGATGTGGCCTCCCTCTGGGGCGATTTCCCTGCACTAATTCTCCATACAGGAGATCTTTTGGAATTTGACCATCAGCCATTCTCACAACATGCCCAAGCCAACATAGACGTCGCTGTTTCAGTCCTTGGCACACACCATTTTAGAATGTACTGTACCTTATATAGATCTGAACGTAACCATTATCTCTACCCAATAATGTATAAATGTACTGGTATGCCTCCCAGAGACTACCTGAAGTTTTTGCTGTCTGGAGAGAACCAATTAATAACACAGTCGGTGGCTAAGTTTTTATTCACAGTTTTAAGAATTCGTAAAATGTTATAATAAGACAAGTACATGGCTCATGTTTTATACTGCTGATATATTTTAACAATTTACTTATTTTGTATATTTTATATAATGTGCTTATTTTTGTATTTTCGGGTCTATGACCGTATAATAATAAACTAAACTGTTTCAGTAATGTATACATGCTAAAAATTCCAGCTCGTTCTAGAATTACACTATATGGAACTTTGTCCTACCAGGTGATACCAAAAATGCGTTGGAGGCAACACATATGCAAGGTGTTCAGTTTCCTCTCCTGTCATGCGCACATTGTCTATTTCCTGCAGGTCGTCAGAAAGGCTGTAGTCAGAAAAGCCAGGGGTCATTGTCTGTACATTCCAGGTGCCCAGCTTTAGGGCAGAAGTTTTTTTTTTACGATGGTTGCATGGTGCACAGTTATCGATCTGCTTGTCAGCTTTCACCCTAAACCCCACGCACCCCATGAGATTAACAGACCATGGCGAGGTAGCACCTTACTGGCTGGGGGCTGCCCTGCTTAAGACGGGCAGTATCAACCTAGTGAGGTGCAATGACCTCTCCCACCATCATAAGTAGCCCTTGGCGTCATGCTCTATGCCAATCGAGCAAAGACTTATAACCGGTAACTGCTACTTCCCATGTTGTTTCAACGCTGTATGCGAAGCTGGAGTTTCATCTCCACAGCACGAAGCCTGGGTAAAATAATATGGAGGATAGGCTGTTACCCAAGCAGCAAATCCCCCCTCTCCATGTCGCTGAAATAGTCCAGTAGAAAGGCAAGAGCCAATACAGCTGGTTCCAGTGACGTCGCAGGAGTTGCCAGAATGACACGAACTGACTCCGGCTCCAGATTTTGCCTCGAGGTTAACTCCTGAAGCCCTTTCCATCAGTGGATATGGCCACAAGGTAGTGGAGGTTTGAATTCGGAGTTTTCCTTATCCTAGATGGGCTGCCTGCCAAGGCTGGCGAGCCCCACCTACCCGGCCTGCTCTCTAATAGTACAGAAGTATGATCTGACCCTTAGAAGTTTCCTACCCCCAGGTATATGCAATGCTAATTGGCTTTCCTATTTACCAAAATAGCCTTCTTATAGTTGTAGACTATTATTAGTTCTATTTCTGATAGCATGCATCAGACAAGAAATGTTTCACCTCACTGATGTTCAACTGAGGGGTTGGGAGTCATGAATAACGCAGCTACAGTCATGCCATTGGTATGTAAACTATTTTCCTTTCATTGTTGTTTGGGTTTTATTTGGATTTATTTTTAAACAGATGAAGCAGAGAAATAATGGCCATCTACAAATTAGAATAGCAGTGGTGATAAAACAAATTCCAAAAGACCCAGATTTTTCATTCCTCTGTGACAGGCAAGTGGAATCTCTGCTTACCAACTCTCATGCCCAATTTCCCCAAACCCTGCCCCCATAAGCTCTTCTGCAATCCTGAGCTGGAAATGAGAGATAAGAGATGGGTTTACCCAGTTCAGATCTCCCAACTACTAAGTAGAGAGAAGAGCCGTCTGATAATACTTTCTGTACTGCCATGTTGGGAAAACGTCAATCATTGATTAAGAGATAAAGGAGATCTGTGGGTAAAGAACTAGGATTCCTAGCTCAGTGATACAGGAAGGCACACCTGTGTATAGTTTTGAGCTGGGAACTGACCTTGTCAGAGAGTGGAGCTTTGGGAAAGTGGGCAAAGCATAATGAGGGAGGAATTGGCTCTCCCATCCTTTGGTACCCAAGGTGTATCTCAGAAGTGAATTTGGCCTCTGGAACAGAAATAGTAATTCAACCTTGCCTATCAGAAGCAGCAACTGCCATGATGCTCTGCTTTATTCTATTCAAAGTACTGTACAGACTCCCAACCATCCTTTGCATCTATTCAACCTGAGGAGTAAGGTTGTAAATCCTTAGTTGTCTTCTCCTAGTGTAAGAGGAATCACAATATTCCTCTCTTCACCAGCAAGGATAGCAATAAATTTCCTGGTGCCTGGACAGAACTTCCAGCTGCTTTGTTCTTGCTTTAGTGAGAACAATGTTGCGCATAAAGATACTGTAAAACATGCAATTTGTGCACTTCCCTATTGCCCAAAATTAGGATGAGTACTCCTTTAAGTAAGAATGTGGACTACGACATATTTCCTAACATTTAGCTAGTCCTCTGATCACTGTGTGTGCATGCTCTGCTTTTCCAAAGGACAGTACACTAGAGATGTTTACTGTATGTGAACTACAAAGACGTTCAAGGAGCAAAAGGATTTCTGCATCATACTCTCAGCTGGATGTGAGGAGTCTTGTACAGCTTTAGAATTCCTCACTGAGGTATCTCAGCATGTCAGGTCAGCATAAATAAATACCCACATCCAGTGCTTCTGCAACTCATGTTCAAAAATATTGTTAAATCAGAGTGGCTACCCCTGTTCCTCTCATCACTTTGCTCACACAAGCACTGGCAACTGTGAAGAGCTAAGGTTCTTGCTTAAATGTAGCAAGAACCCGAAATAATCCGGAACCGTTCCTGTTCAGACATGTGCAAATCAACACATGAGCAAACCAACAAGTAGGGAAGCTAGACACTCCCTCCTATTAAACATGTTAATGATCTTGGATTACAAAATGGCTGAAAAGAGTCAGAAAGTGTGGTGGTGCTTGTTGAAAGACTAAGGCTTTCCCAGGAGAGGTAGTCCTCTGGGAGAAGCCCTCTACAGAGCAGTGACACTACCCTTCCCAGGCATCCCTGCAACAACCAGGAAACACCAGGGCAGTTTACTTCTGTTTTTGCACAGAGAACCAGGCTGAAGAAGGCACCCATGGAGATTTAAAAAGCTGGTGTCTAGACTTCTGCTTTTGGACTGTGCTTCCCCAAAATTTTGCCTCTGGAATTCCTGAAGAATTCTGAGAGCTGGAGTCCAAAAACTCTGAAGGTTCCATTCCTAGTGCCATAAATATAGCTTGCACTTTTGTATATGAACAATTAGCCAAGTCATATGTTTCGTCCATGTGATATTTTTCTAACCAAGCTTTTTGGGCACCACCACAGGTAAAATTGCCTATTAGAATTCGACTGTTAGGAAAAGAATATTTATGTTATAAAATCTACATTTCACCAGTTGCCTAGACTTTAAAACATGGCTTTGATTTATGGATCAAAATTCCCCATTTATAAATTTATCTGAACAGCTTTAGGCAATTCTGACAGTTAAAAATTTAGTTTTATTGACCAAATGCAGCTAGTCTGCCCACAAGGGGACCAGTACATATACAACCTGCTGAATTGAAAAACAAAACAAAAAACAAACCCTCACACACTATTATTTGATTCCATGACCAAGTTAGATTAGAAACCATAACCAATATAACAGCAAGTTCCAAAACTCAAGGCAAAATATCTGTTGAGAAACTTAGTCACCCTTCAAGAAAGAAGGTGAAAAAGATCTAGATAGAATACCTGCCAACACTGTGATTTACAATAGTATGTGATTCCTGCCTATGTCAACAAGAATTGTGAAAGACTGTAGGGAAAATGGTAAACATCAGAATAAATACAACAGAGAAAAATAAAAGGCAATAAAATATGGAACAATACAAAGTGCCATTAGACTCTACAGTATAATATTAACTGGGCTCAACCTAGCCAACCTAAGCACTTCTAAGGCTCACTAGTTTCAAAGGCTGTGCTTTAACCACATGTTCCCACTGAAAGCAATGAGACTACTGCTTTATTTTGTCTGACCTGCATCCATATTATTTAATAAGTCCCATATCAAAAAATAAAAAGGTATCTAGAGAAAAAGGGCTTGTTTAAGAAAGCTTGGCAAGTTTAAGTAAAAAACATATTAAATGATTTAAAGCCACTTTTAATTTAGGCTTATTCCATTGTAAAAGTAACCATCTCCCACAATCTCAATTTATTTTCCAATTGTGAAGCCCTTGTAATATATAAACAAGCCTCTGTGGGGAAGCAAATCAATAAAAGTGTCTAATTTGATTAGCTGTGTTTTAAAATTCATCAAGGTAACTCAACATAAAATAAACTGCTTACTTGTCAGTATTTTCCATGTCTTTTTTTCATCATCATAGTACTGAACCAAATTGCTGGGTAGCCGGTCAGGTCCAGGAGGCAGTCCTCCAACCAATAAAAGCATTTTCTTGTTGGAGCGAATTCTTCATCCAAAAGAAAAGAGAAGATGAATAACCACATTACTGCAGAGTATTTTTAGTAGCATAAAATCATAACCATCAGAATATTCACTGCTTGCACTTTTCTATTTCATTTTTTTGTTTCTTTTCCCTATCATGTTTCAACAACTTTTTGAATCAAGCAGAAAAAATAATCAGAAAAGCTGTACAGCCCTCTACTTGTGGAATAATAAGTTTCCTTTATGCAATTTGTAAAAGGTTCATTCTAGAATGACCTTTTTCTCATATTATCCCTTTAAATCATCACTCTTTACAGCTGAATACACATGAAATGCTCTGGAGTTGTACTAAGGTTAAGCATTAAAGTTGCATGTCAAAAGCCGTATTAGTCAAAATCATTATTATAAGCCATTCTACACCCAAAGAACCTTGAAAAAATTAAGGTTATGCAGACAGTTGGTGAGACAACTCTTTAATCGCACATTAAAACTTAAAATTCCAATTTATCTGTACAATTAGCAGCACTCTGCTAACAGTTAAACATTGAACTTTACTTTGTTACAAAATACTTTTTGTTGTTTAATTTAGTTTAGTCTCTTGATTCCCTCTTCCCCACCGCCCCTCCTTTCTCTGCTCTCCCTCTGAGCACCACTGGCTATAGCAACACCAATTGGTAAAAATGAGACTGTGATGTTGTTGTGAGCCTCCCCAGAGTGGAGCCCTGCCAATGCTTGCCACCGATCCAGCGGCATGAACCTGCTCAAGTGTGCAAAGTCACTCTAATTCCCTCCCTCTGTTTTTCTACCTTCTCCCCCAGGGGGCAGCCACTGAAAAGAGTGACTACCCACCCATCAAGAGCTGGCAATTCGCTGCTATTAACCGTGACCGTGATTCCCAGTCTGCCTGGCAGTTCTTAAGAACAGGACTGCAACGTCTCATATGCAGTAAAAGATGTAATATGCACCCTGCCCTCCATTGCTATACCTGATGAATGCACACTTCTTTGTAACACTAATAGCTTTAACACAATTTCAAGGGGGAAAAAAGAAGAGACCTAGACCCCTAGATGAGTACTAATGCTTTAATAGTCACTTTATATATAATTGAACATGTATCTGTTACACAAGGCCTGGAAAGAGATAAAAATCTAAATAAAAGACCATGGCAAGGCAATTCTTTCTATTCTCACGGAAGTTTAAACTATATGCATGTTACATATATCATATATGTCTGACACATCACTACATGACTTCAGTTTTCTTATTGTTGATCTGCTTGGTATTACTGGGACTATCTTATATACTTTATTGTATCAAGCAATAATGATTCTTGCTACAAATTAGGGCAATTAATGCATTAATCACTCTAAATTCAGGTACTTTTTAAAAAGGGGGATGTTTCCGATGTAGATAGGCTGTTTTCAAAAAAGCACTCCAGTAGAGGGAGTGTTATCACTAATGTCCATGTTCTGTGATTTTTTTTTAAAGTTTACTGTGTTTAGGAATATCTGTTTGACAGATTAATTTACATGTACGCTATGAGCATGGCAACATAGTTAAAAGATCCACATAAATCTAACTTAAATAAGTTTGGAAATACAGCATGCAAAGAGGATATTAAGGGTTGCCTCCAAAAGAAATTGCTGTTGTTATGTGCCATCAAGTAACCTCCAACTTATAGTCAGTAGTCAGTAGGCATCCTTCAGTCTTGAGAGACTATGGTAGCGTGCTCTGTATGGAGGTCTTGGAACAGCATCTAGTGTGGCTGAGAAGGCCAATTCGAGAGTGGCAATCTCTTCCACATTGAAGACAAATACATTCTGTCCCCTGCCCAACTCCCTGGTTTTGCTTGTTTTGGGACTGCCTCTTTGCCTCGGCCTGCTGGACAAGTATCTCTTCAAATTGGGAGAGGCCATGATGCACCGCCTGCCTCCAGGCTGAATGCTCAGACGTCAAGGTTTCCCATCTGTTGAGGTCCATTCCTAAGGCCTTCAGATGCTGCTTGCAGATGTCCTTGTATCGCAGATGTGGTCTCCCTCTGGGGCGATTTCCCTGCACTAATTCTCCATACAGGAGATCTTTTGGAATCCAACCATCAGCCATTCTCACAACGTGCCCAAGCCAATGTAGACAGCACTGTTTCAGTAATGTATACATGCTAAAAATTCCAGCTCGTTCTAGGACTACTCTATTTGGAACTTTGTCCTGCCAGGTGATACCAAAAATATGTCGGAGACAATGCATTTGGAAAGTGTTCAACCTCCTCTCCTGCCATGCACAGAGGGTCTAGGACTTGCTGCAGTACAAGAGTTTGCTCAGGACACAGGCTCTATAGACCTGGATTTTGGTGTATGCCGCCAGCTTCTTATTAAGCCATACTCTTTTTGTGAGTCTAGAGAACATGGTAGCTGTTATAGCGACCCTATGAATGAAAGATCTCCCAAATGTCCTGTTCTCAACAGCCCTGCACAGCTCTGGTAAATGCAAGCCTGTGGCTTCTTCCATCTAATTTTTGGTCTTCCTCTTTTCCCAGCATTATTGTCTTTCCCAGAGAATCCTGTCTTCTCATGATGTGTCCAAAGTAGGACTGTCTCCATTTCAACATTTTTGCCTCCAGAGACAGTTCAGGCTTGATTAGATCTGGGACCCACTTGTTCATCTTTCTGGCAGTCCAGGGTATCTGCAAAGCTCTCCTTTAGCACCACATTTCAAATGAATCATTTTTTTATGTTAGCTTTCTTCACTGCTGAGCTTTCACACCCATACATGGTGATCACAAATACAAGAGTTTGGATGATTTTGGTTGTCTCCTGTGCCACATCCTTGCGTCTGAGGATCTTTTTTAATTCCTTCATTGTTACCCTTCTGAGTCTCAGTCTTCTGATTTCTTGGCTGCAGTTTCCATTTGGGTTGATGGTTGAATCCAAGTATACAAAATCTATAATTATTTCAAGTTCTTCACTGTCAATGCTAAGTTGTGTAGTCCTTCTGTAGTCATGATTTTTGTCTTCTTAACATTCAACTGAAGTCTTCTTTCACTTTCTCTTAAACTCATTTTAGGTCACTGCTGCTTTCTGCTAGTAGGATGGGGTCATCTACATATATTAAATTCATGATATTTCTTCCACCAGTTTTTACTCCTCCTTCATCTGAATCTAGTCTGGCTTGCCATATAAAGTACCTTTCCTTTACAAAAAGGAGTGACAATGATTATGGAAGTGCCAAAAGCTTATATCCAGGAAAGGTACTTAGTATCAGTTTACCTTCACTCATCATGTCAAGTATGTTGCTTACAGTAATACTACTGTTACTGCCTGGGCTAAAGGACATCAGATACAGAATGGCTAGCAGGCATTAATAAAGTCAGTTAAATGTAAATTTAGGAAATACAAGTTTCAGAATCAGTACTCCTGTCGTTGCCAACCTGGACTATTTTAAAACTCATGATTTTGATATATGAAAATTTGCATGTGTTTCATTTGTCCCAATGTCTTAAAAAGTGAGAAAAATAAACCATTTTTCCCTATTTGGCTTAAGGTTGGCTAAACACATAACAAGAGACTGAGCCACATTAAGCCACAAGTCACTTAAGCATGGTCACCCTTAATGAGAGAGTAAATTGTTTATTCCAATTCTCTTGTGTAGCATGTTCTATTTCTATCCCAATCATCTTCAACTGCATTTTAAAATTCTAAAAACCATGATAAGGTTGGCCAATAAAGAAACTTATTTCAATTTTTTATTAGTTTTTGCATTTCACTTTCATCTAAACAACACTTTTCAAGCCTGACAGCACTGTGAAGAGACAAAGAAGAATAAAAGTTCACTTTTCTTGGGCGTAGGATCAATGATGATACTCTGATTTGAATTACCAAACAGTGATAATAGGCAGTATACACTCAGGCCTAATAGCATATACTGGGGCCCCAGATTCCAGGGCCATATACAGTACATGCAACTCTTCGAAATAAGCTGCAAGTTTGCTAGCTACCTATTCAGTGAAGACTATAAAGTCCCCAGTGTTTACTGCCAAGCATCTCCACTAGACAATATCCAGTTGGGAATGAGATTCTGAGCTATTTAAAGAGATACACAGTAGCATACTTGTGAACATGTTTAATCTTAAGCATTATTAGAAACAAATCTCACTAGACAATGGAGGAAGCATGTCAGATTCAAATCAAAATATCGTAATTCATCCTATGCTCAAGATAAGTGATCTTTTATTCTTCTTTATTTATTCATAGTGCTGTCGGTCTTGAAGAATATTATTTAGATGAGAGTAATAACTTCCAAATGTAGAGAGAGGTTGGAGCTAAGACCTCAGCTGAAGAACTTAACACAATGTGCTCATGTGTTAAGTTTTTTAACTGAAATTTTAAAAATTGGTTTATTCTTCTCCTTCTTTGAAGACTTTTGGACAAATGAAACATATGCAAATATCATGTGTAAACAGTCCTTCAAATATCATGGCCTCGGGTCATAGAGGGCTTTGCAAGTCAAAAACACCTCTTTAAATTCCATCCAGAGACAAAATGGTAACGTAGATCTAACTGCCAATATATGATCTTGAAATCATATGAGTTACATTCAAATTCCACATTCATTGCTTTTAACAAAGCCAAGAAAACACATATTTTCAAACTGGCCTTCTAAAACTGTTTATTGAGTATTGTATTGGCTTTAATTGGCTGATTATTATGACTCTTTAGTTGTTTTATTGTTCTATGTGTTTTTAACCTGCTTTTAATTGATCTTTACCTGGTTAAAAATTATGTTTGCCAGCTACCTTAAGCACTATTCTATTGAGATGTTTATTTAATAAGTCTGCACACATCCTGGCATTCTGTCTACATCTCAGGGGATGAGTAAATGTTGTAAGCCGCCTAGAGTGGTCGAAATGACTAGATAGGTGGGGTCTAAATACAATAAATAAATAAATAAATAAGTAAATAAGTCAATAAGTCAATAAGTCAATAAATGGGGATGAGTAAAATGTAATCTAGCATATCTAACATATCTGTG